AAGCTAAAGTGGATAAAGAGAAATACTTTTAACTGATGGTATATAGAGGGGATTATAATCAATGTAATGAAACAAGTTATATGAATTGTTTAATGTGAAACTGATGATGTGCCCTGTAAACTTTCACTCAATCCACAATAAAAACCTTAAATTAAACACAAAAAACAAACACACAAACAAAACAAAACAAAACAAAAAAAGCAATGCCCTACATCCAGAGAGGGAGAGCAACTGTGTGCTGAAGACTGGGGGCAGGGATAGTGTAGGGTGCAGACTTGCAGGTTATACCCTTTGGTGGTTGATTATGCATGGAGGGGATTGTAACCATGGCAATGAAACTATATAGGATAGAATGAATGTAAAACTAATGTTCTCTCATGTAAACTACCATATAATTCACAATAAAACATTAAAAAAAAAAAAAGCAATGCCTGCGAAACTCAATTCTGTGCCATTTGTAAACTATAAATAACTAAATAAGTAGGTATCAATAAATCAGTGAAGCATCTGCCTTTTATGACTCTTCACAGGGTGGTTACAAACAGACAACACATTTGTTGTGGCAATGAAAACTGATTAAATAAGCACAGGAAATATTTATCTGACATCTGCTTGCAGTATTATGAAGTCAGTTCTCATTTTTGCCATTAACGATATTAACTATGTTTAGGGCAAATGGTCAATGTACCATGCTTATTCATGTTTAGAATGTTTTTATGGTTGTTGTTCCAGCTCAGAGCAACCCTGATTAGGGTTTACAAGAGCAGCTGGTGGATTTGAAGTGCCCACCTTGCAGTTACCAGTCCAGTGCTTATCCTAGTGTCACACCTGGGCTTGTTGTTTTCTTCAGCCACATCTGAAGTATATGAAAAAGAAACAGATGTCATCATTCTGCTGACAACAAATTTGAAGGTGTGACGCTGTACGATCAGCATTGGACTTCAAACCACAAGGTTGGCTATTCAAACCCACCAGCTGCATCTCTGAAAACCTATACAGGGCCACTATGAGTCAGAACTGATGTGACAACACTTAATATTAAGTTATAAAAACACACCAGAAGAGGAAACATGATCTGCAACTATTATGGGGATACTATTGACTATCAGATTGCTTTTTGAATGCTAAACAAAAACCTAATTTCAATATTTGAGTCATAAGTTTTAGAATTGGCAGGGACCTGAGGTTTGGTGCCAGGCCAGCTGAGTTTGAGACCCTGGGGTCAGGACCTTAACCAGTGCAAGCCTCAGTTTCCTCCTCTATAAAATATTAACATTTACCTTCTAGAACTCTTGTATTTTTGAGAAGCATAAACACAAACCCCTAGAAGTTCTCCTCATTGACCCAGGATTTCAGGGAGTTTCTCATGCAAACTTAGAGGTTTACGGAACTAGTACAAAGGGGCAGAGGGGAGCTGACACTCTTTACTGTGCAATGTCATTATTATCCCTGACACGATCCTCTAGACCCCTGGGCGGCACAAACAGGTTTCCACTCAACAACGGAAGTGACTTGATGACACTTAACACCAACCTAACGTGAAGGTTAAGGAGCTCTGGTAGCGTAGCGGTTACGAATCGGGCTGCCAACCTCAAGCTCAGCAGTTCGAAACTACCAGTAGTTCCGTGGGAGTTCTGCTCCGGTAAAGATTTACAGCCTCGGAAACATTGTGCAGGGTCACCTGAGTCGGAACCAACTCCACGGGACTTACCAACAACCAACCAATGTAAAGGTTGGAGACTTGAACCCAGAATGGAGCCCACAGCAGGAGGAAGATGAGGCTGATCTGCTCCCTTAAAGACTGACACAGTCTCAGAAACTCAAACCCCTTTGCTTTACTCTGCCCTACAGGGTCAGTACTAGTCAGAATGGCAGTAGGTTTTGTAGCACCCCTACAGAAGAAAGGCCTAGTGATCTGCTTCAGTAATGATTACGGCCAAGAAATGGTGGTGGACCAGTTCTGCTCTGTAACACACGGGAAGAGTTGCCGTGAGTTGGCAACTACTCCATGGCATCAGGTTTAGATTTAAGCTCCGTATGAAGGAGCCCGATTGGCATAATGGTTAAGTGCTCAACTGCTCAAAGAAAGGTTGGCAATTCAAACCCACACAAAGATCTGAGGGAGAAAGAGTACCGGTAGTACTACTCTATCAAATGGGTTGCTCAAGGTAAGAACGGATTCTATGGTCACCCATCTACAACAGCAATCCCCTTCTGCTTTTTATTGACGTTAGGACCACATTCCCCACTTCCAGACACACATTTAGCAAAGTACTAGTTGCATATTAATCTGTGTTGAGTTGAATTTTGTACCACCACAATCTATTTATTCCTGAGAATTTAGGGTTTAGAGCACACCTCTTCTTTCCTTTTGCCCGCTGTAGGAAGGGCAAGCCCTTTAAGCGAAGCAGAGTGGTTCGTTCTGTCGTGCATAGGATCGCTGTGGGTCAGAACCGACTCAACTGCACCAGCAGCAAACAACTATCCCATAGTTCAACTTGTTGTTCAGGAGATCTTTCCAAAGGTGGTTACGAATAGGGCTGCGAACCGCAAGGTCAGCAGTTCGAAACTACCAGCTGTTCCGCGGGAGAAAGATGAGGCTTTCTGTTCCCATAAAGATTTACAGCCTCGGAAACCCTGGACAAGGTCGCTATGAGTCGAAACTGACTCCACGGCACATAACAACAACAGGTATGTTAAGGAGCTTTGGTAGCGGAGTGGTTACGAATTCGGCTGCTAATCTCAGGGAAATGACCAACTGTTCCGCGGGAGGAAGATGAGGCTTTCTGGTCCTGTAAAGATCTGCATCCTCGGAAACCCTGTACAGGGTCGTTATGAGTCGGAACCGACTCCATTACACATCAAAACCACGACCACCAGGCCATGTTGACCTTATCTCAAGATTTCCAGTGTTCCTTGCATTTGGACTCTCTTCGTCAGAAGAATAAGAAGACTATGTTACTTCTGAAATAATTATCCTATTTCTGAGTATTCAACAATACACCATTTTGACTTAACTAACAACCAAATTCAGACCACTCCAAACCCGTCACTTCTGTGCCCTACTAATAGTTATCCGTGCGCCCCACCACAATCCAGTGCGCACGCGCAGAGCCTTCTAGCAGGCGCGCTGTGGTGACGTCAGGAATCCGCGACGCTTTCGGCGTCTTGAAAGGCTTCTGGCTCTGCAGCTTGGCTGACGACACGACCTCTAGCATCATGGCTTCTGTCGGTGTGGCCACCGGGCGTCAGGTGGAGGATGCGTTACCACCACCAGTCGAGCCACCGCTGCCTGAGACGAAGCCACTACCGCCGCCCCAGCTGCCGACGCCGGTGGCTGCGCCTCAGTCCCAGCAGTCGCTGGCGCCGAGGCCGCAGTCCCCCGCGGGCGTAAAGGAGGAGAACTACTCCTTTTTACCTTTGGTTCACAACATCATCAAATGGTAAGGGCCTAGGACAGGGCCATCCACGACATTCCCTCCTGCTTCGCGTCACTCCCGCGTCCGAGCTGAAAGGCTTTCTGGACGGTCAGTAAGTACCGTGAGCCCTAAGGTGGCCAGGCCTCGCGCTGGCCGGGCGCCGGGGCAAGAGTGAAGCCAGGGTGGAGACTTGAGTGCGCAGGCGCCGGGAGCAACTTCAGCCTCTCTGAGTCCCAGTTTTCGTAATTGTTGTATCAATACTACTTGAATTTTTTTTTTTTTTTTCAATTCAGGAACCAAGTCCGACTGTTCTCTGTGTGGCACGCCGCTTGTCAGGTGCCGTCGAGTCGGTTCCGACTCATAACGACCCTGCATAGTGTTTCCGAGGAACGGCTGGTGGGTTTGAACTGCAGATCTTGCGATTCAAACTGACCTTGTGGTCCAGTGCTTATCCTACAGAGCCACCCCAGGACTAAATTGTTGTTGTTAAGTGCCGTCGAGTCGGTTCCGATCCATAGCGACCCTTTGTAGGGTTTCCGAGGAGTGCCTGGTGGACTTAAACTGCCAACCTTGCAGCCCATCGTGTTAGCCCGCAGCGCCACTGCAGGCCTCAATAGCCAGCCTAGATGTAGGATCCATCCCCATGCCGTGGGATACATGAGGTTTCCCCGCTTGTCAAACTCTTGCAAAGCCTTTGTTTTCGCGTGAGATTCTGGCTTCCTTTGGGAGTCTCCTCTTGGCGGCAGTGAGTTTGTAAACGTCAATGCGAATACAGATCTGACAATTTTGGGGCAATACTAGATTATCAAGGGGTTATCCAGGTTAACATCCATATACTGTTTTTAAGAAAAATCTGGGGAAATAAAAACATACATATGCACCTTTTTAGATACAGCTCTCGGACCTCTAACAGTACGTGCCTGAACCCCCAATAGAGAGGGGGTTCGATGACCTTTGCGTGGGGTACTACGTTATGTTAGGGGAAACATAGGCTTTGAAGTTAGACGGTGCTGTCTGACTTCACGTGTGTCAGGCCTTAGCTTTCTCATCTCAAGATGTGAATAATCATGGCCCTCAAACGCTGGGTTTAAATGAGAGCTCTCTAGCATGCTTCTGGTGTGGCACTGGGCTGAGAACCACAAAACCTATACAGGTCACTATGAGTGGGAACCCACTCAGTGGCACTTAGCAAGCTTTGTGGTAGTTACATAACTTCTCTGAGCCACTTTTTCTCCTGTGAAATGAGATTATACAGTGTGCTCAGGGGTGACCACCTGGGAAAGAAGACAGTTGACCACATGAGGTGATCTCTGTTTGTTCTAAAAGGGAATTTTTTTTTTTAATCACAAAACTAAAAAGAACAGGAGAAATGATTACCATAGGCAGTTGGTCAAGGACTTACTGAGAGCAACTTGCCTTTGACCATGTTGGGTGCTCTCAAGTTAGTTCCATCTTGCAGCATAATAGACAAGGAGACCTAGTAGAGCTGTAGGATAAATGCTCTACTGCCAACTGCAAGGTCAGCAGTTCAAACCCACCAGCTGCTCCTTGGAAACTGTATATTGGGTTTAATGAATCAGAACTGACTCGAGGGCTGTTAATAACAACAGGCCGGCCAGAACACTGCCTGTTTCTGCACCATCCTCACAATTGTTAGTTTGAGCCCATTGTTGTAGCCACTGTCAGTCTGTATCATTGAGGGCCTTTCTCTTTTTGCTGACCCTCTACCAAGCATAACTCCTCTCTCCAGTGACTAGTCCTACCTGATAACTTGTCCAAAGTAAATGAGACGAAGTCTGGCCATCCCGGCTTCTAAGGGACATTCTGGCTGTACTTCTTCCAACACAGATTTGTTTGTACTTCTGGAAGCCCGTGTTACTTTCAGTACTCACTAACACCATAATTCAGGTGCTTCAGTACTTCTTTGATCTTCGCTATTCATTGACCAACTTTCACATTCATACAACCTTGCAGTTAACAGTCCAGTGCTTATCCTACAGTGCCACACCAGTACTCCACATGCATGCATATACAGTGACTGAAAATGCCATGAATCAGGTACACCTTAGTCCTCTAAGGGTCGTTTTTGCTCTTTAGCATTTTTAAAAAGTTTTTTACAGCAGATTTGCCCAGTGTGACACATTATTTGATCTCTTGACTGCTGTCTCCATGGACATTGATTGTAGATCCAATTAAATTAAAATCCTTGACCTGTGGCTATGGCCTTTCCCCAAATTCCAGGAATTGGCAGGAGCAGAAATTTCTCAAAGTAGGAGTGAAAGTAGGACTAGTACAAGAAGGATTGCTTAAAATCTGTTTAATAAACAGATCCCCACGTCCTCTGATGGGGAATTCTACACAACAGGTGACTTTCAATTCTGCCTGGGAAAAGGTTTAAAGTACTCTCTTGCTCAAGATTTTCACTTAGGAAAAAGTAAGCCAGAGGATCCTAGACTGAGGACACCAGGCTATATTGCACAGGTTGGGGGGAAAACAAGCTAAATATGAGGGTGAAGAGAAAGTTCCCAGACTGAGTCCTGAGGAAGCATCTCAAGGACTTTCTTACCTAGTTGGTGCCTATACCAGCTGCTGGGAATATTACCGTCTAAGAAGAGGATAGAGGCCTCTTTGACCAGCCCAAGAGAAAAGACACAGGGATCCTCAAGAAATGATCCTCAGATCATTCTGTAATAAAATAAGAGGGTCTCCCTTACTCAGGGCTTCTACTAAGACTTTTAGTGCTTAACTCTTAAATATATAGCTGGACCACCAAGGTCATTGAGTGTTTGAAGAAAACTAACAAAAACAGGACAAAATAGAAGAGCAGAAAGAGTCACTTGGAAGAAACTGCAGTGAGATGAAGAGATCATTGTTGTTAGGTTCCATTGAGTTGGTTCCAACCCAAAATGACCCTATCACAACAGAATGAAACACTGCCTGGTCCTGCCTGTCCTCAAATTGTTATGTGTGAGCCTCTTGTTGCTGCCACTGTGTCAGTCCATTTTGTGTGTGTGTGTGGGGG